AGGACTAGTTAAGGTGAGGGCCTCATTGGGAAAGGGACTAGTTAAGAGCACCATTGAGAAGGATACTAGTTAAGGTAAGAGCATCATTGAGAAAGGCACTAGTTAAGGTGAGGGCATCATTGAAAAGGGGACTAGTTAAGGTGAGGGCATCATTAAGAAGGGGACTAGTTAAGGTGAGGGCATCATTAAGAAGAGGACTAGTTAAGGTGAGGGCATCATTGAGACGGGGACTAGTTAAGGTAAGGGAATCACTGAGCAGGGTACTAGTTAAGGTGAGGATATGACTGAGAAAGGGACTAGTTAAGGTGAGGCTCATGAATCTTTAAGGAACTGTGGGTCTCAAGGCCTCTTAGACTGAAATAGAAAGTTATATTTCTCTTTCCACTTTAGCTAGCCCTTACTACTTCTGCTAGCACTGTCCCCAGGTTCTTATACTGTGTCCCAGCTGCCACCCACACCCTGACCTCCAAAACCAGCGGGCATGCTAACTAAGTATGGGGGCAGATTTGGCCTTACCTGTGTGTGTGAAGGAGGATGCCAAGCCTGGCGGGAAGGCATGGTTGCTGTCCAGACTTTTCCACTTCACAGTGCAGGCCCTGGGGACAGTCACTTCATCAGCCTGAGCAGCTGCTTCTCCTATCAGTGAAATGGAGATTACAGCTCCCCTCCTGCAGGGCACAAACACACAAGTATTGTGGGTCCCCAGTCAATAGCTGCAGTTTGCTTTGGTTGTTTGGTTTTGGTTGTTGTTGTTATTGTTGTTTGAAACAAGGTCTCTCTGTGTAGCTCTGGCTGTCCTGGAAGTCCTTCTGTAGACCAGGCTGGCCTTGCTTCAAGGGCATGCAAGTGCCTCTGCTTGCCTCCCACCACCACCCAGCCTTGTTTTTTTTTTTTTTTTTTTTTTTTTTTTTTTTTTTTTTTTTTTTTGGTTTTTCGAGACAGGGTTTCTCTGTATAGCCCGGGCTGTCCTGGAACTCACTCTGTAGACCAGGCTGGCCTCGAACTCAGAAATCCGCCTGCCTCTGCCTCCCGAGTGCTGGGATTAAAGGCGTGCGCCACCACCGCCTGGCCCAGCCTTGTTTTTTGAGATGGAATCTTTTGTAGCCCAGGCTGCCCTTGAATTTACTCAGTAGCCAGGGTTGACCTAGACCTCCTGTAGTGGCTATTCTTGGTTGTCAACTTGACTATATCTGGAATGAACTACCATCCAGAATTGGAAGGCTCACCTGTGATCCAGATCTTGAGGCTGGGAGATACAAGTTACTAGCCTAGATCTTGGCATGGAGATCTTGAGGCATAGTGGCCATGAAAAGCTTAGGCCCAGGCAAGGTACTACACACTTTAATCCCAGGAGAATAAGGCAAAGAGATCTCTGAGTTCAAGGTCAGCCTGGGACAAAATAAATCCCAAATCCAGGGCTGGAGAGATGGCTCAGTGGTTAAGAGCAGTGACTGCACTTCCAGAGGTCCTGAGTTCAAATCCCAGCAACCACATGGTGGCTCACAACCATCTGTAATGAGATCTGACGCCCTCTTCTGGTGTGTCTGAAGACAGCTACAGTGTATTCATAAATAATAAATAAATAAATCTTTAAAAAAAAATAAATAAATCCCAAATCCAGGCATGGTGGTACACACCTTTAATCTGGGTCACATTTCCTGCTGGAGACCTACATAAGGACATTGGAAGAAGGAAGATTTGCTCTTCGCCTGCTTTCACTTACTTGCCAGCACTACAGAAGACCAGCTGAAGCACCCAGCCTCGTGGGATTGAGCAACTACTAGATCCTTGGACTTCCCATTCACAGCTCCCCATTGTTGGGTTAGATGGACTAACTAACTAACTCTAAGTCCCACAATAAACTATAAGTCATCACAATAAATTCCCTTAAGATATAGAAACATTCCATAAGTTCTGTGACTCTAGAGAACCCTAATACACCCCCCAATCTCCTCCTGAGCGCTGGATTACAGGTGTGCCCCAGCGCACCAGGTTTATGTCATACTGAAGATGGAGCCCAGGGCTTCAGAGATGCTTGTCAAATAAACTACAGGCCAGCCCGGTCCAGCTTTTGTTGACTTGGGGTTAGTTCATAATGAACTAGAGACAGGAGCCGCATGCTGGCACATGCCTGTGATGCAAGCATTCAGGAAGTTGAGGCAGGAGGATCAGGAATCCAAGACAGTCTGGGCGACATAGAGAGACCTTGCCTCAAAGTAGAGACTGAAGACAGGACAAGCCCACATACGATGCCACAGGCAGTCATCCACTGAGCAGGATTGTGTGTAGGGGGGTGTCTTTCCCTCCCTGACACATAATATAGTCGCACTCTGGTCCTCACAAAAGCCCCTGCTGGACACTTCTGTGGACCAAAACACAAAGGCAGCTGATACTCTCCAAATATGATCACATCAGAGTCATGGGTCTCACATGCCCTGGGGAGAGTCAGGGGCTGTTTCCTCTCCACAGTGGCTATGGAGGAAGTGGCACTACTCTGCCTTCTTAACTTCCGCCACAGATTCCCAGAATGGGGTATAGCTAGCTCCCCCTTTTCTCTCCAGTCCCTTGTGCTAACTTCCCCGAGGTATCACATGAACAGACATCTACCCTGGCGTAGCCTTGTGCTGGGGAAGGCCAGGAATCAGCCATGTAGAGAGGGTCACTTAGAGAGAAGTCCTGAGGCTATTCGGAGAAAGGCAAACGTCTGAGCAGCCTCAGCCTCAGGCTGGAGATGCAAGCAGAAGAAGCACTCGGGTCAGAACCTTTACAGAGTCTCTCCCAAAAGCATGCGTCTCAGACACTCAGACGTATTTAAAGATGCTGGTGGATTCGATCTGTGACTCTAGGGGCTGGTTGTTACGCAGCAAGAACTAACTGATACATGTAGGAAATCTTCCCTTTCCAGGGGAGGAATTCTATACTGCCGCCTGCTGTCTGTGACTCGTGACACATTGAAATGGGTCCTGTACACTCGAGAACTGTGGTCATGATGGGGGGGTTTAGTGGTACACACCTTTAATCCTAGTACTAGGGAGGCAGAGGAAGGCAGATCTCTGTAAGCTTGGTCTACAGTGGCTGGTTCCTGGACAATGAGGGCCACATAGTGAGATCCAGTCTCTTTTACTTTCGTTTTGTTTGTTTGTTTGTTTGTTTGTTTGTTTTCGAGACACGGTTTCTCTGTGTAGCCCTGGCTGTCCTGGAACTCACTCTATAGACCAGGCTGGCCTCGAACTCAGAAATCCACCTGCCTCTGCCTCCCAAGTGCTGGGATTAAAGGCATGTGCCACCACAGCCCGGCCAAGATCCAGTCTCAAAGCAAACAAAGAAACAGAAAAGCATAGTGGTGCCGGCCATGGGGGTTCTGGCAGGCAGTTCTACCATTCAACTATTATTATTATTATTATTATTATTATTATTTAATTTTATTTATTTTACATCCTGACCGGAGTTTCCCCTCCCTCCCACCTGTTCAACTCTTACCATGCCAGATGTTGTACTACATTCGGCTTACTTAACACATTACATTTGCTTATTTGGTGGTGTGTGTGTGCGTGTGTGGTGTGTGTGTGTGTGTGTGGTGTGTGTGCATGTGTGTGTATGCTTATGCTACGGTGCACGTGGGGAAGTCAGAGCACAACCTCCAAGAGTAAGATCTCCATCACCGTTGGGTTCCAGGGATCAATCTCAGGTCGAGGGGCTTAGCATCAGTGCCCACACTGACCATTGAGCCGTCTCAGCAGCCCCGGTGTGCTTGTTAATTAATCGTGGTTCTGGCGACTAATCCTACTGCTCTGAGAACAATCAGCAAGTGCTGCCGTGCTGCCGTGCTACTGAATTTCCCACCGCACCGCAGCTCCCCTTTTCACGTTGCATTCTGGGAAATGGTCTTACTAAATGCTAGAGCTGTCCTTGAACTGGAACCCGGGCAGGCTTTGAATTTTTTAATCCCGCCAGCCTCCTGAGAAGCTAAGGTTGCAGGGCTACACCACTGCTTATCTTGATGTTTGCTGGAGTCTTCCAAGCTGGGGCGCAGCTCAGTGGCTTAGTGTGTGCCTGGCATCCAAGGGGTGCTGTAGAGGGGAACGCTGAGGAACCTCACGAGGCACCTCGGATCCAGGCGTTCCAGGCTCCACAGCCAGACTGCTGGCAGGCAGCAGGAGGCCGTTTTCACCGGGAGTATTTTGAAATCATCACCACCACCATCATCCGCAACGATCATCTTTATCATACTGAGATCATCATACTGAGAAAATGTCTCGCTGTGATGCTCAGACTGGCCTTAATATCACAATCCTCCTGCCTCTGCCTCCGGAGTACCAGGACTAGGGGCATACACCACCATGCCCTGTTTCCCCTTTCATTACTATAGCTCTCACCCTTCCACCCCACCCTCAGTAACAGAAGCTCCAAGCTTCCCCCCTTAGACGTCTCTCGGGCCTCCTGAAGTCTATAACCCATGTGCTTTCAAATATAGCTTCTGTCTGAAAGCAGAAGTGACAGGCTGGGGACAGAAAGCAGATGGAGAATGGGGAAGACTGCAGGGGACAGCTCATCCCTCATCCCCACTCGTCTGGGAGACTGTGTCTTTAAGAGCTGGGACGGGGAGAGCCTTAAAGGGCGTGTCTTGGGCGGGGATAGAGGAGCCTGGGCGTGTCAGGACTGGTAAGTAGGCGGGGCAGGGTTCTTGGGGGCGTGGCCCGGCTGCTCCGGGCCGGGACTCTAGGGGCGGAAGGTTGTGGCGCTGGCCATCCGGCTAGAGGAAGACTCTGAGCCCGCGGATCCAGGCCCCGCCCGAGGTAAGTGGAGCTTCGCAGCCCGAGCACGGGTCTCCCCAACTTCAGCTTCTCAAATCCGGTTCCAGCTGGGACCCCAAATCAGAGAGCGCTGCCCGGTTCCCATCCCCATCCCTGGTCACCAACGCTGCACACAGGTGTCCGTATGCCGGAGGCGCTCGATAAGTGCTTATCTGGAAATGAGTAAAAGAAACCGGCAGCCGGTGTAGAGGTGACTGTTGTTGGGGACGCGGAGTCTGGTTGCCCCTTGGGTCAGCGCTCGAGTCCATTTCACGGATGCGGACCCAGAGGCCATAAGCCCAGATTCCCACCCCCCACCCCCCCCCCCCCCACAGGCGGCCCACACAGAAAATGCAGAGAGGCAGTTGGAGGGCTGTGTGTTTTTCCACTCCACGTCCGTGCCAAGTGGAGTAGCTAGAAAAAGTGAGGGAAAGCCTCCTTCCCTGTCAACAGGTGAGGAAGAGGCTGGGTTCTCTTCCTCCTCTGAAGTCTCAACTTGTCCTTTTCCCTCCTGCCCCGGGGGTGGGGGGGGGAGGTGGCGATTTAGAAATGCTTGTGCAAAGACTCACACCCCCTCAAAAAAAAAAAAAAAGGCTCGAATGGCCTTTGCATCCCGGATTGCAGAAAATAAAATGAACAAAACATTTGAGGCAGCTTGCCTAAGACTTAGAGCCAGTTTTCTGCTTGGACAGAAAAATAAAGCTTTTTCCCCCTGGCTGGAGGAAGTGGGTTATTCATACTGCAGCCCCACCCGCCACTTCAGCCAGTCCCAGTTTAGGCGGCTTTGAGCAACCTGCTTCCCTCTGGGCCTCAATTTCCCCATCCAAGAACGGTTGGCTTTCTGGCTTTCTTCCTTGCCACATGACTCTGGGCAGCCTGTGGTGAACTTTTAGCCTCAGTTCTCTGAACACTCAGAGAGGGCAATGTGGCGTGGCACTTCAGCTGACAGTGAGGAATGAGAGTGACATTGCCTCCCGGTGCCTCAGTTTCCCCATGGAAGGATACAACAGCAGGTTCGTGAGGTTGTGATGCACCGGCCTTTTTGGTCACAGCCAAGTCCACCTCAGAAGTGTGCTGGGACCCAGCTGCATGGTGCACGTCTGACGTCTCAGTCACTGAGGAGGCTAAAGCAAAAGAAATAACGCGCTCAAGGTCAGGTTGGCAGACTGAGGAGCTCCTGCCTCAAAATGAAAAGTAGGAAGAGGGCTAGAAGTGGGCCGTGGTTCAAATTTATAATCCCGACACTGCCAAACCAGAATCGAGAGGACTGTCGATAGCTCAAGGGCAGCCTGGGCTACCTAGTGGATTCCAGGCTAGCCTATCTCAACAAACAAAAACAAACAACTAAAACTCAGCGAGGCTGGAGATTATAGCCCAGTGGTAGAGTGCTTGCCTGTCATATGTAAATCGCTGGGGTCCATCTTTGTTGTCCCACCCAAAAAGGAAAACAAACAAACAAGAAAACCCCCAAAAGTGTGATTTCCTTGTGCTTGCGATTGGATACTTACTACTTATACTGATCTCATTTAGCTGTCTGGCTCGGTTCCCTAAGCCTCTTGCAGGCCTGATGTCCTGGGACAGGGCTCAGGGAGATACCTAGGGGATGGGGAGTGGGGGTGGGGGTGGGTGGCGGGGTCGCTCCAGAACAGGAAGCATGTGATGGAGGCCCAGGAGGGCTACTGAGTGGGAATGGGGCTTCTATACGGGTGGATAGGGACTTGGCTTTGCAGGAAAAGGTTCTCTGGGCTCCTCCTCCTGGGGCCTGCCGTGATAAAATCCCCTCCTCTTACCCCACCCTGCAGGCACTAGAGTGGCCAGCCCGTGGAAACCGAAGGGAGCACAGAGGGCGCTGGTCAGGCCCCAAGGGGCCCATGGCAGGCAGATGGCTGGATCTGCTCTGGGCGCCTGGCTTCCTCTGTGTGGCTCTGATACTGGAGACGGCATCTGGGGCCGGAGACCCATCCACAAAAGCCCATGGACACATCCAGTTTTCAGCCGGAGGTGTCAACCAGACTGCCATGGCGGACGTGAGTACCCTGGCTGGGCAGGATGGTGGGTCGGGTGGGGCGTGTCTGTTCTAGTCCCAGCTAATCATTACGCAAGTGACCCTGGCGATCTGCAGGAGCCCAGTGGGCCGGGGCCGGCAGATAAAGTTAGAGATTTCAGACAACAGTGAGCTGTGTAGCCATTAACACTGGGTGGGGAGGCTGTGATTGTCCGCGGTGGTCAGCGGTCTGTGACAAACTTGTTCTGTGAACCAGTCATCTCGGAGCCAAGCTTTAAAGGAAGAGAGGAAGCCTCTTTCACGGACAGACATGTGGGGGAAAGACTAGGAACAAGTGCAAAGGCCCTGTGGCAGGTTCTAGCTTAGTGTGTTCCCGAACAGCAAGGAGGCCGGAAGGAAGGGCTGATCAGTGTATATAAGGTTTAACCAGGTGGGTGGAGAGGTGATGTTGGCCTGATTATAAAAGGCCTTGTGGACTGAGGCTGGAGAGTGAGAATCGGGAGCCAGAGGAGGGTTTTAAGCAGAGAGACAATCAAACCCTGATTTATGGAGTTCCCCTCTTCCCCCAGGCTGCTGTGAAGAGGCTGGCATGAGAGGGGAGACACTGGTGGAGGGATGGGGAGCCCCTGCTGCCTCCGGGCTGGGAGCCTGGGAACATGGTGGTTGGGTTTGGAGTCGTGCTGGGGACACAGAGATGGGGGTACGCTGGTGGATCAGGTGGAGAGCAGGCAGAGGTGAAGATGACGGGGACAAGGCTCCAGCCCGGTCAGCTGAGGGTGTCCTAGTGGTTGGGGGGTCCCTGGGGGAGGAGTGGTGGGCTAGACAAAGGCAGATGGACAGAGGCAGGGGTGGAGAGTAGAGAGGACCACAGTACATCATAGGGGGGGCAGCTGGGATCGCTACCTTTTCCCCCATCTCCCCCCCACCCCCGTGTGTGTGTGTGTCTGTGTGTGTGTGTGTGTGTGTGTGTGTGTGTGTATGAGGCTTGCACGTGTGGGGTGCACATGAACACGCATGTGTGCATGAGCATGTGCAAGCCTGGGGTTGATAGCAAAGATGGCTTGTTCTTCCATTGTGCTCCCTGAGGTAGGCCCTCTCAGTCGAACCCAGAGCTCATCGATATGGCCATGCCGGCTAGCCACCTTGCGCTGTGGATCCCCTCTTCCTTCTGAGGTTGGCATTACAGGAGCCTTCACGCCCACCCAGCATCCATACTCCAGGCCTCGTGCGTGTAGGGTGGGCAGCTCTAACCACTGAGCAATCCCCCCTCCCAGGCCCTTTCTTTTGTTCGTCTGACACAAGGCTTTCATGTTTGTCAGGCTGGTTCAAACTCACAACGTAGTGGAGAATAACTCTGAACGGATTGTCCGGTCGTCAGCTCCTGAGAGCTGGGAGTCCAGGCATGTGTCACCATGCCTGGTTGCTTTCCGTGGGTCCATGGGTAGAACTCGGGGCCTCCAGCTAGGCAGGCACATAATCCTACCCACTGAGTCATGCCCTGACACCTTTGTTTTCTGTGTCAGAAATCACAGGCTCAAGCCACCTGCTCTGAGAATCTTGTCGCCTACACCAAGTTTACAGGCCGGGGTGCCTTCACCCCACCCTCTGAGAAGGTCATTGGGCAATTGAGCCCATTTTACAGATGGGTGGGCTGTCTGCAGTTACTGGCTTATAAACTTGGCTGCTACTTCCCTGTACTCTCAGGGTCAAGGATGTGGAGTTGGCTGTGACCTAAGTGGTCCCATGGATCCCTTGTGACAAACCAAACCTTCCTCTTTAGGACATCGGCCCTGGGATAGGCTCCATCAACACTTTCAGTGCTGGACACTTGATCCTGTGCCTGGAGCCTGAGGGCCAGCACCCTCAGTGTATGCAGTTGTGCAGCCTCTGTTCTGGTTTTGTTTTGGTCTTACACAAGAACTCGAGCTGTAGCCCAGGTTACCCAGGCTGGCCTAAACTCAGAGTTTAATGTTTACTAATGTTTAAGTTTCCTGAGTACTGGGGTTACAGACATGAGCTGGCATGCTAGTAGCTGGTGTGTGTGTGTGTGTGTGTGTGTGTGTGTGTGTGCAGGCATGTGTATACTTTAGACAGGCTGGCCTGGAACTTTGCCTCCTGAGTACTGAGACTAAGTTGTTTGCGCTGTCATGCCTAGCAGGGTATCTAATGTTTATTGAGCCCCTACAGTGTGCCGGAATTGGACAGAGAACTTAGGGAGCCATCCCCCTGTGGCTTCCGCTGCTCTGGAAACAGGCCAAGCAATAAACCGTAGAATAACAGAAAGTAAAATAGAACCGAGTTAAAAGAATGTGGGTGGGGCGTGAGACGGGGGGAGAGCCAGCTGCTGTGCCTCGGGCCATTAGGGCCATCAGTGCCATCAGGGAAGGGCTCTGGGAGGTGAAGTTTTCTTTTTTTTTTTCCTTGGGTTTTGGAGACAGGGTTTTTCTGGGTAGCCCTGGCTCTCCTGGAACTCTGCCTGTATACCAGGCTGGCCTTGAACTTTGGGATTGGTTTGCCTCTTCCTCCTGAGGGCTGTGATGTTTTTATTGAGGCTGGATCAGTAGGCACAGAGGCCCTGGAGCAGGGGCAAGGTGATGTTTTTTCACTAACTGAGGGAGGGCCCCGTAACTGAACTACTGTGCAAAAGGGAGAAAGAGGAGGACTCCGGTCAAAGGCAGGTGGCTCAGCTCAGGAATTTTTTTTGTTTTTTTCGAGACAGGGTTTCTCTGTGTAGCCCTGGCTGTCCTGGAACTCACTCTGTAGACCAGGCTGGCCTCGAACTCAGAAATCCGCCTGCCTCTGCCTCCCAAGTGCTGGGATTAAAGGCGTGCGCCACCACCGCCTGGCTAGCTAAGGAATTTCAAATCATTATAGTACCTTCTTTTATCTTTACATTTCTCTCTCTCTCTCTCTCTCTCTCTCTCTCTCTCTCTCTCTCTCTCTGTGTGTGTGTGTGTGTGTGTGTGTGTGCATGTCACAACAGGCTCGTGGAGGTCAGAGTTCAATGTACAAGAGTCACTTCTCTCTTATCTTATGGGATCTGGGGATTGAACCCAGGCCATTAGGTACTCCCTGTCAATGCAGGGGGACGGGGGAGGGGGGATTGTTACAAGCTCAAAACAACACAGCTCCTGGTGGTGGTGGTGCACATCTGTTATCCCAGCACTTGGAACCTGGAGGCTGGAGGGTCAGGAATTCAGCTCGGGCTACGTGAGACCCTGCCTCAACACAGTAACAAAAAATTGGCAATGGCACAGGTTACCTCTGGTTCTGGGTCTTGGCCTGGTGTGGGTGGGGCTCAGTCCTGAGACTTCTCCTGTGGTTGTCCCACATCAAGTCTCTAGGAATTGCACCGTGCTGGAGGAGTCCTTTCTCCATTTCCCCTATGGTCTCTCTCACATTGCCTTCCTTGGTTCTGACCATCCTTCCACTCCCTCGGGAGAATCTCAGGCCACCAGCTAATCCCAGAGAGCACTCCCCTCAGGCCCTCACCTTACCCATGACCATAGTAATTGGCACACAGGTTCAGGGCTTGGGGCCGGAACACTATTTGGGCCACCATTTCCATGGGCACAGATAGACAGGGACGTCAAGTAGCTGTGCGGATCTGTCTGTCTGTCTGTGTGTCTGTCTGTCTGTGTAGCTCTGTCTGTATCTATGCAGGTCTGATTGTCTGTGTATCTGTCTGTGTCTATTCAGGTTCCTGCACTGACACTTTGGGGACATCTTAGCACACAAAAGCATTGGGCTTTCCTGGCTGCTGCTGACAGAGAGTAAGGAGGTTGAAGGTTCCTGCCTTCCTAGTTAATTGATTGACCTCTTCCTGGAGGCAAAAGGGCTCTGACACTCTCGGTCCCCATTGGACTGCAGAGGGAGGGCAGGGGAGGACGAAGAGACAAATGGCACTGAGGTGACAGTGACCAGAACACTTTGAGTGAGGAAACCAGAGTTCAGAGACAGCGGCCGTGTCCAGAGATCACATGGCTGGACACTCAGGGTCTCCTGACTGTCCAGATTTTGCTGTCCTTCACAATAACCCCACTGGATACAGAAAGACACTGTGGTCCCAGGCCACATCCAATTTGCCACTTGCCTGGCTCCATGGTTCTGAGGGACAGGAGGTTGTTTTTGCTTTAGAACTTGGCTGTCTTTCAGAAGGGCATGTGACTTCCCAGAAGGCCAAGAGGCCCCATGTGTTTAGCATTTCTGTAATCTGTGTGGTTCCCCAGGCATGAAACTGGCTGCCCGTACCTGACCCCCCATAGCCCAGTGTCCTTTGAGTTCTCCTGGGCTGAAGTGGAGCCTCAAGGAAGAGGGTGGTAGGATCGTGGGGAGGTAGACAGATCCCCTAAGCCAGACACAGAGCACTGCCGCCCTGATCGTGCACTACTGAGTGCAGGCTGGGAGAGGGTTGGGCCTAGGGGAGAGAGGGAGGGATATCCAGCTAGCTCAGGCAGGGGCTGGGCGGTCAGGCCATGTGACAAGAGGCCACTGTCAGAGGACTTGCCTTGCTGACTCATTCTAGTGTCTCTGAGACACTGGGAATGTCCTGCGTGTCATCGTCCTGTGTTCTTGCTCTATGTGTGTGTGTGTGTGTGTGTGTGTGTGTGTGATCCTTAGGCTGACCCTGAGGTTGGAGATGAGGGAACAGGAAAGACTGAACAAGAAGAGGGCTCACTGTGCTGTGGCTATAGCTGGCCCTTGCTGGACAGAGCTGGGTGAAACACATCTAGCAATAGCTGGCTGTTTGGTTACAGGGGTGGGGTGTCCCTTCCTCTCTCTGTGCCTCAGTTTCTCACTTATGAAGTAAAATCCATTGAGCTATTTCCAAGGCCTCTACTGTCCAAGGAAGGTGATGCCCCCCAGTGTGGCAGACCGTGCTGACATGCTGGGAGGTGGGGTATGACCAAGTCTGAGAGCCCACAGAGGGGCTGCTTTCAGACTCTGAGTTGCTTATAGAATGCTTCTGCACAGTGCTGTTGTGGACACACGAGGCCCTGGGTTCTGTCCCCAGCACTGCATAAACCATGGTAGTGCTTGCCTGGGATCCAAGTCCAGGGAGTCAGAGGCAGGAGGATAAGAAATGCAAGGTCAGCAGGGCAGTGGTGGCACACGCCTTTAATCCCAGCACTTGGGAGGCAGAGGCAGGCAGATTTCTGAGTTTGAGGCCAGCCTGGTCTACAGAGTGAGTTCCAGGACAGCCAGGGCTACACAGAGAAACCCTGTCTCAAAAAACAAACAAGAGAGAGAGAGAGAGAGAGAGAGAGAGAGAGAGAGAGAGAGAGAGAGAGA